TGATGAATGTGGTTGGCTGTTTTAGCCCATCAATAGACAAGGTGAAAAAATGTATTCATCCAGTATGAATTCTGTGGCCAATTACTATTCCTAAGCAATGCACTACATTTTTAGCTCATCTAACAATATTTTTATTATATGAAGAAGTGATGTCTTGGTCCCGACATCCACATTTTTTTTATAGATATATGTTTAATGTTAAATCGAGAAAAGTGATTTTATTGATTTTAGAAATTCGAAATATGTTTCACATTTTTCTCAAGTTCGTGGACCCTACCTTCTATCTCATCTGGCTCTCATTTTCTTTGTAGGTGTCGCCCTTTCTTGTATTCGTGTGCGGTACTTGAAAAGTTACATGGATCAGATGCGGGCAATCATTAGTGTTGCATGCTGCATGACAGAGAATAAGAGAGAAATTTATTGTTAGTGATGGAACATAACCAGTGGACTATTTTACTGTCATTGAAATAGAAACGTCGCTCAGCCAGATGAAATAATTTATCTGACTGAAATCATCTCAGTACAATGTCTGGTTAATATCAAACGAACGTGCAAAAATTATAATCCAACATATCGTTCTAATAAAGATGAAATAATATTGATTTTATCGATATGAACACGAAAAATGTCAAATAAACAATGATAAACGAAACTATTCAATTATCTAAAGAAATGTATCATTGAAGTGATTCATTGATTTTACATTATTAAAAATATTGAATGGGGGAGTGATGGGAATAGAGAGAGATAAGGGGAGCTGAATTGAACAATTTGAAGAAATGGTTACGTATTGATGATGATGATGATGGTTGTTTTTATTTGCTGAATTCGATTCCATTGGCCATTTTCATGTGAACAGCGGCGCATTTAGATAGATTGTATGTATTTCTCTAGTGAGCAAATAAATCATATTTCATTCGATCGCAAAATCGAATTCTATATCGACACATTTTCCACATCGGCTCCCACGTGTATATTATAAGCCGAATCAAATTACATCGCTCCGTTGTGTGCGTATATATATACGTTGTTGCTACTGTTTTTCACGGTGTTTCAATAAGATTGAAACGAAAAAAAATAATAAATAATCCAAAAGCAACACTCTCATTTCATCGGAGTATTGCAGTTTCGTTAAATTACATGCTTATGCGATCTTATACAAATTTTTCTGGAATTCTCTGGGCAGGGCAGGAAGAGGCACCAATTGATGCGAAATCAAAATAGCAATAAATATTGCCAGAATCACAAATCTAATAAGGTTAAAGGCATTGATTGGCTTAAATATTATGAAAAATTTATACACAAGCCAAATAATATTGCATTACAATCAAGCGAAACGTACAGACCGAATAAATAATACATGAATTGATGTTGGTCGGTGATGCGTACATCGATAAAATCATTTGAACCCATCTTTGACCTCTCTCTCTCTCTCTCTCTCTCTCTCTCTCTCTCTCTCTCTCTCTATCTCTCTATTTTGGTCAGGAATATAGCAGCATTCTCTCTGGTTCAATCTTGCTTCCCCAATTACCATTCAATTTGCCCTCCCAACCTTTTCTTTCCCGTTTTCCATTCATTCTCATCTTCGACCACTTTCTTTCGGTCTTTGTGTGTTTCGGGGTCTCAATCTTTAGCCTCCAACCACATATAATGCTGCTTGTCGCATGTGTTGTTCTCTTTCGTATCAAGTCGGCCTTAAGGCTTCGGGTTAAATTATGTCAATTTATACATGTGCATAACATTCATTCTTCTCTTGATTTTTGCATTTTTATTCCGTTTCTTTTTTCGTTCCTTCCAGCCATTTCATCATCATTATCATTATCCCTCGTCATGATTTTATTTAACAGTTTTGATGTGTGCTTCTTGTTTTCTTAAATCACAACAGCCCTTCATAAATGGTTTTATGTGATTTAATGCCAAATAGAAACGTTTCATGGGTGCCAAAAACACATAAAGTGCACATTTTTTTCTTTTCATTTAACATGCCAGCTGTTTTGTTTGATGTACGAAAACATCGCACATTTACATGAGTCTATTCCAGTTGGACGATGCATTCGAGAGATCTAGACCTGAACGAGATCAAAATGAACGTAAAACAGCCAAAGCTAATAATAATGTTTTTATGCGATTTTCTTTATTAAATTCAATTTTTGGCACTGCGTCCACTGTCAAAGCGATCATTTGCATTTTCATTGAGCGTGTTTTATTAAAATACACGTGTTTTTGCCAAAGTGATTGCTCAATCAATAAAAAATATGTACGTTTTATCCACCACAATGACGGAATGAATAAATTGCATGCACAAATAAAATGGAAAAGTAATGGGAAGTCCATAAAATGCGCATTGTTTTCATCAAAACTTTTCTCCAAATATTATATGATTCAAACCGAGGACTTACTGTTTTTGTTTACCTTCATTAGAAATGGCATTCTCAAGTTTCAGTCCTTTTAAATGTAGCAAAAAAAAAGTAACATAGCATGTATCAAAGTTTATTTTCAAAACAATTGATATTGCTTAAATGTTGTTCATTGTTCAAACCGAAATGGCCTTTGTGAATGAAACTTTGTCATAAATTATATATACTCAAAGGCACTCAATGAATCAAAACGATGCTGCTTTGAAGAAAATTCCAATTTATGCATTTGTTCACTGTACGTATAAATGTTCATCAATGTGATGAGTAGAAATGTCAGTCAGATGGATGCAAAAAGTTCGTCGACTGCTTTTCTGTTGCGATCGGTGTTGGCCCGTCAACGTCAAAAATGTTGAAATTTCATTCAACAATCGATGTCTGGATGAAAGTGATTCACTCCGTTGTTGTTTTTTGCATCGTTTTTTACTGAGTTTTTTTTTTCGTCGGTAAAATGAAAGCTTTTTCATCGTGTTTCTAGCTGGTAAACAATTTTGCATCCGTTTTTTTTAGAAAACGCGACGGAAAAATGAACTGAAACATGAGAAATTCGGATGAAAATGAGATTGAAATGCGCCATTGACTATGAGGCCGGTGATGCAGTTAGATCGTTGCTTGCAATATTCCAAAGAATATACCCACATATAGAATGATGTATATTCCCATTTTGTCGTCTATAATTGAGTTCATGCATAACCAGGTTGAAACAATGCACGTTCGATCCACCTATCTCTCACTCTATCTCTCTGTGGCGCACCGTCTGTTTTTCTCTTTCACAGAAACATACTTTTGTTTTCGTTCTAACGCTTTTTTTGTCAAAATGTTCATGTATGCTGACATTCGGTGATGGTGTTCTGCGATGGATTACATCGTATTTGATACATATAAGCACTGCCATATGTGCTTATGTTCATGATGTGTGTAAACCAGACGAAACCATCATAAACACAACGTATATTTGTATTCAAAGTGCATGAAAGTAAAATGAACTGAAGATTTTTGTGGCTCATTTTATTTTGCTTTCTCTTTCTCTGGTCCCCATTCTCTCGCTCTCTCGCCTTCCTTTATTTCTCCTTCGTACTCGTCGATCTAAAAATGTGTGCGATTTTTATTTTGTCATTGTCTTCCATTTCATCGAAGTATTGAACGTTTATGTCTATCATTTGAATCAATACAATATATTTGTTTGTTGGTGTTGGGCTTTTTGTCAATAGCGTATGCTATCACAGTAACTTCGATTTTGTGTACGGTTCAGTTGTGACGAACACTAGCTTGCGCTTATTATAGTCGCCACATTTCTTGTTAGACACTTGAAAAAACTGTCCCATTTCACTCACTGACTGACGTTGCTGACACAACACCGAATAAAATTAACCGACTGATAACACATTGCAGGTACATGCATCTATCCACGAACCGACAGTGAATGAGTCAGAATTTAAATTTTTTATCAGTTGCATTTGGTGGTAGTGTGTATGTGTGTGTTTGTTGTGGTGTCGTTTAATTGCATTTTCATAAAATTGAGAAATTGTGGTATTTTTGAAACCATATTTCTGTGGTTTCAACTGCAAATGAAATTATATTCAATGAAAGTGATGAACCAAATTTGTATTATGGGTATGAACAGTGTGTGGTTCGTGCGTGTTTCTTAAAAAAATCAAAGTTAAAAATTGTTTTTGTGGAAATTTGTCTAATAAATTTCGTGGTTTGTCATCATCACGATAGAAGTGGTGTATCAATGTCAAACACCACTTAAGCCATTGAAAAGAATTACGAATGAGGCATTCACACTTAATAATAGCAATCTGGCATGGATTTAATGCGTTCGCATCGCTTGGATTCACAGCACTTCAATGCACTCTCTCTCTTTTAATTTGAACATAAGGTGTCCACATCCGAAGTTCGGATCTCCAACCAACTTTCTACCGTTTACTTTGAAAGAATCTCTTCGAAAATCAACGGAAAACATTCGCGTTATATAAAACGCACTCATTTTCATCGGCGCTATCATGCCATGCAATGCAAACTATATTCGAGCCGTTGAAAACCGTCGCATTTCTGAAATAATTACGTATTCGATTGTATTTATGTAGGTGCCTATATCTTACAAGACGAAATGGAATTTCATTTTCTTTGTGCTTACTCATCTTGATTGCTCTTCATTCAATGAATTCACTTAATTTCAACATTTTACATCGTTCTACATTCAATTGCATATTTTACACAATTTTCAAATTTATCGACATTTTCTCTTTTCTATAATCTTGCATGCTTTAAATGCCAACAGCGATGTGATTTACCGGTGTCTGCACATTTAAAATTTATTTATACACTTCAGTGATGCCAACAAATGTTTGCACAACTTATTTTTGCATATTTTAATTTTTTGAATGTGGTGTGCGAACAACAACTTCATGCAATGTGACAATATTCATGAGAAAATCCATTTATTCTAATGACAACCCCAAATGCATCTTTTGAATTTATGAATTTTATGTGTTCATTAAATAAATTTGTAATTTTTGAAAATAAAATAAAAATGTGTGAACGATTGTTTTTGTAATCATGCAATAACTGATTGAATTTAAGTTACAGAGTCGTTGCTGTTGTGGCAGGAAATTCTGAAGCAGTTACATTATACGGTCTATCACCAGACACACAGTATCAACTTACGGTTACAGCCGTTTGGAGTGGAAAAAAATACCGTAGCCGACCAATCGTCTTTAGAACACTGGGTAAGTCGGGGATTTTTTTAGCAAAAACTATATATTTGTGTACGTGCTTAAGTGGGTAAAATGGTGTCATTTTCGATTTTTTTCATCAATTTACCGTGACGTTCTTTTATAATAGCTTATTGATGATATTCAATGGAAACTTTTGTCGAAAATCGATTACATTTTTAACGGGTGATCAGATTCCCGTTTGTTAATTGAGAATGTTTGGCTATAATTAACATTTCTCTACAAAAATCAATTAAGGTAACATATACTCGGGGCGAAAAGCTCTTTTTTGAACTCCATAATTTCTTAAGCGTCTCCTGCATTTTTTAGAAACTTGATGAACTTAAATGTCAAGATTTTGAATTAACTTTTATAAATTTGGATTAGTTTAAAAATTGGAATATTTTTCATAAATTCGACAAAAGCGACTTTCAAAAACCGCAAATAAAACTTGAATCGAATACATTTTTAAATGGCGTCAAAAATCGATTTCCTTCACAGAAAATGTATCAAATGTTTCATTTTCGGTGTTTTAAATATTTTAAAAAGTCTGTTGCCTTTTGAAATCTTCATTGGTGAAAAAACGGTCTTTATGGAAATTTACTAAAAAAGTGTGTTAAATGGTATTTATTTCAGAGCCGCCACGAAGTTCACCACAACAAGATCCAGGCGCATTGGGAAGCGGCAATGGGCCACCCGTACCGCCAGTCTTCGACACTGGGAACGCTATCACATATCCCGACGAGTATGGTAATGTAGCAGCTGATAATTCAACCGCACGTGAACTTCCAACGGTAAATAATCTGTTTGTAAATCATTAATCAGTTTAATAAAAAGCTACACACACCGTTCAATCGAATAGTTGGAATAGTGTTAATCGAAATATCGATGTGATAATTGAAAGCCTAAAAAACTCTCCAATATTTATATTGAGAAATGAAAACTAACAACAAATGACAGTGATTATCGGTTGAAATCAATATATTATCGGTTTAATGTGTGCGTTTCTCTATGTTGTAGGTCCGTGGCGTCGAAGTAGGTATCGTAGTTGTAGTATTACTCGTATGGGCTGGAGCGATAGCGTTGTTTTTTAATCGATGGGGCAAAATTCGGATGTTACTTCCATATCAGCCAGACTATAAGCAAGAACAATTAAAAGTTCCCGGCACCGGCGTATGTTCGGCTGGCACATGTAACGGTCAACATTCACATCAGGTAATTTTTCAATACATTAAATCGCTAATTTTACCACCAATATTCAAAATGACAATTTAACTTACATTTACCCTCCCAATCGAGAGACAAACAAAAAATAATAATACAATTGTAATAATAATTAATTGTAAATAATAATACAATAAGTTGACAATTGTCATCTAAAACAAACATCATTTAAACATATATTGCGACTAAAGAGCGAATATCGATTTGAGATCCAGTTACGTAAAATATACACGTCGCCAATTTTATAAATTGATTATTGAAAATGGTCTCTGAAAATTGTTTTGTGTATTTGATTCGTGAAAAATTCAGCCACACTTCACTTAACATTTAAATGACAAATGATCAAAAATGAATGTGCTTGTTTCCATTCGAATGGATATAAATGTGCGATGGTCATTTTGGTTGCGACAATGAATATACACTTCGATGACAGTAGCAATGATTAATATTTTTTTTCTCTTGCCATTTCAACGGAAAATCGCATTTTATCGCTTGCGTCTGAGATTGGTCTTTGTTCAATTTTTGATCTAATTCCTGGTCATCAATTCGGATTGATTCACATCATCACGGGATGGTTTCTATGTATTTACAAAAGCGCCTTATGTCAATTGATGTAAAACGTACTTGGTTTTGGTTGCTATTGGTGGTGGTGGTGGTGTTGTTGTTATTATTATGGTGGAGAAAAGCGTCTTTTCATTTCAAAACATTTCAATCATTCTCTCTCTTTCTCTCACTCTCTCTGTCTCGCTTTCTAAATGATTTACTCACAATAGATTTTTCTGAGTTTACTTCAATTTGTGCATCATTTTATTGAATCCCCATTGCGTACAATCGTCATTGTTGCAAATCGACTATATTGTCAACGTAACGCATCGAAACATTTTTTACAATTTATGTTCATCCAACTGGAATAAGAAGAGCCATTGAATATCTGAAAATTACATTTTTTTCCGTTTAATTTATACGTATTTTTTGAATTGAAAAGAACCTTAAAAATAAACTCAATACATCAAAAACGATAAGAAAATATTGCGTAGAATCATTTTCTGTCCAAATATAGAAAACTTTCGATTTTTTCAGATTTTTTCATGAAATGGTTAAATGGTCATGAATCAAGTATAGGTAACTCATATTTGAACAGTCTGTCCGACAAAGCAAGAAAAGCAAAAATGATTGAGTTTGAAAATGAAAAAGTTTGCCTTTGCTTTCCGGCTCGTATCAAGTGAACTCGGTGAATAAAATTTCTTTCTTTGGTCTATTTTCTGATAGATGACATGCTTCACTGAAAAGTAGTTATAAAGTTAAATGTGTTTTGGTCAATTTGTTCATATACGTCGTAAGAGCGCATTTCAAATGAATTATTAAAATAAATCGGAACGCTTTCATTGAATTTCACATCAAGCTGAAACTATTAACACAATTTACATTATTTGCGCCATCTTTTAAAAACAGACAAGAACGAATGTGTAGATTTTTCAAGTGCCTATCTGTCACATAATGCAATGAATGGCACAAGTAAAATGTCGACAATTTAACGAGTTCAACACATTTAATTCTCTCTCTCTCTCTCTCTCTCTCTCTCTCTCTCTCTCTCTCTCTATGTGTGTGTCGGTGTGTAAAACTAGCTACAATTCTATTTTACCAAAGCACTGCGTTGTTTTGATTTGGAATTGCATTTACGTACCGCCTGAAATTGATTGAAACAAACTTAGAATCTGTTTGCTTCTTAGATAATCGCTTGCAATTACACACATTCTCAAAATGACATAAAACTCAAATTGAATTTGAAACTGAAAACGGAACCGAAATGTAATTATTTCAATTGCGAAAAGTTGTCGAGTCAATGACGAGTTGAGAAATTGAGCAACGAAAACTAATGAATCGCATTGCTTCAAAATGTTGCTAAGAATTTCAGTGCATTTATTTTTATTTTATTGGGCGAACGGGTGCAAGCGATCCAATCGGCAAGGCTTTCAAATCCAAAATTATTATACGGAGAAGAGTATCTGTGCTTATTCAATATCCAATTTCGTGTATATACACAGTTGGAGTGCAAATAAAATTAAATTGCTTAACATTTTTCCCGGTAAAACAATAGAGAATAACGTGCGGTGAACAAGGGAGTTTGAACGAAATGAAATGCAATGGGTGTTATGTTTTCACTCTCCTTCCATTTGTTGCATGATGAATACATTTTCCAATGAATCAAATGTTTTATTTCAAAAAGCATACACGAAATTGTGTAAAATAGTTTCTGAACATCAAAATAAAGATTTTGGTGCATGAAAATGCAGCAAAGTGAAAATTGAAGGATTTTTTTAAAAGTTCAGCGTCAAAAAACATCACAATGGTATGAATTTTTTTTGGCCATGCCAAAAGCCAAATATCAACTCAACTCAAGGATCAACAATTCTTTTTACATTCAATTCTATGCTCGTGTGGCAACACAAAGTTCCAAATAGAAAAACTTTTTCTTTGGAAAATATAATTTTAGATTGCAAAATTAACTTCCTTTAAAAACAAAAAGAAACAAACTTAGAAAAGAAAAAAAATATTACTATTCAAACAAGAAATGAACTGTAAATGGAAATGAGCTGACAATATGCAACGGAAATGACTGCAATGAAACATTTTTTCCGTTTTGTGAAAATTGTTGGATAGCGAATACGACTGTTGTTAACACAAAAACAGGCGTAAAAAATAAATAAATAACTTATTCACATTTGAATCGTTGCGGCGAAAGAGAAGCTCTTATTTTTCTCCAAATAATACTGCAACATGAAGTTTTTTTCACACGGTTTATTTGTTGTAATACAACAAATAAACTATTCATAAAAAAATTTATGTTGCAGTATTATTTGGAGAAAAATAAGAGCTACTCTTTCGCCGCAACGATTCATTTGTACATTAACGAACGGGAACAAATTTGTGCATTCGTGCATAAAAATCAAGTGTTCAAGGTCATTTCTCTTATTCCAAGTAATTATCATGCACTCCATAGCTAAAATTATTCAATTGCTATAGCATGCACTTGTTCTTTGTTCCCCGTCCCCTTCCCTTCTTTCTTCTTTGCTCCATTTTGTCGTCGTCGTCATCGTCTCCATTTCATTGAATATTCAATGATCGAATCGATTCACATTGTCTGTCACCGATTTGCAACGTTACTTTTGGACAATACAATCCATGCTAAGTACCTGCCCCTTAAATATTTATCTATACTGAAGATAGCATTTTTCAGCGCAATTTTACCACATCAAGTGCTCGGGCCCTCGTTTAACGAATGAATCTTTTTACGAACCTTCAACCATTCAATTTATCTATTTAAGTGCACAATAGGTTGCCTCAATTAAGCTCCTCTCGGTTTCACTTCCATTTTTTTGCTCTACATTTTCAATGGAAACGGTGAGTGAACGCTTTTATTACTATTTTACCGTCATTAGTTGGCAAAAATGAAAATAAAAACAAACTATCTATAATTAAGCTTTGTTTATTTAGAGTGGCAGGTCCATTAATTCCGTTTATATTGGAAACTCTTCCCTTTCGCCATTTCTATCTCTCTCTCTCTCTCTCTCTCTCTCTCTCTCTCTCTCTCTCTCTCACACACACACACACACACAATGATTTTTGCTCGCTAATTGTACAAGTATCGTGAAAAATTTCCCCCACTTTTTTATTTTGAATACTTTCTGTGTATTAAATAATGAAATTGGTGGAGGCTTTTGTTGTCACAAAAATCAATTGGAATTTTCATCACATTCGAGATTCATTACGACTCTTGGTCAATGTAATTCGATGCGTTTTGCAATTGGACTGACCAAAATGTATACAACACAAGGCGAAAACTGTCCGTGACCTTTACACATTTTGCGAGGAACTTCATGACTCCAATCAAGTTGATCGCATTTATTGAAAATACATTTTATTGTTGACAACACCTTAAAAGATACTTTTTCTATAACTTTTCTACTCTCTTATGTTTCTTTTTTTCTTGATTTTTTGGGCCAGCCTTAAAAATGTAAAAGTGCGAACATCCGAAACTAGTGTGAAAAATAGGTATGAATTTCATTTCAGTTGATACGTATCACTCCATAAACGTATATCGCTTTGAAATGGCAAACCACCACCTGAAAAAAAAAAAACAAAAGCTTAAATAAACACATAAATATGATATGCTCAGCAAATTGAAACCGTGCACCGCCACTTTTTAAGTGAAAAAAATGCCATGATTGTTATAGCTTTTTTGGTCTTTCATTCCCTCTCTCTTTGTCTCTTTCATTCTCGCTCTTTCTCTTTTTCTCCCTTGCAAACGGTGCTCAACAATATTCTTCCGATGAATATATGACTTTGTTGAGCCATCACCATATCAAGTGGCATAAGCATAAATTATTTTTCAGCAGTGGCGCCAAAAACAAAATTTGGCTGAAATAAAACATTTCAGGATTCAATTAATAGCATTTATTATGTACTGAGGTTCAAAAAATGCCACGAAAGCTGCTACAGTTGTTGGGATGAGAGTGTTTGTGCCATTTCCGTACTAAAGCACTTTTAAAAAAAAGCAAACATAACGTGTCGCTTAAATATTGTTTGTTTTTTTTCCTATGCGACGCTCAAGTGTAAATATCAGGTAAACACGCAAAATTCATATCGTTTGGCATCCGAAATATGTTCGCGTCATAAAAATAGATGCTAATTATTTCGATTGAAATGTTTTTCATTCATTGTAGATTTTCAGCGTGTATTACGGTGCAGACAGACAATATATATATATGTATATCTGCATTTAATTATGTGATGAATGATGGTGTGACCGTGGAAATTCGGTGCAAAATTTCAGTCATTTTATGTGGTGTCATTATGAAAATATGCCAACACATTAAATTGATAAAAGACATCGGTTTCCTCATCGTTTAAATGCGGAACTAACGAAACTATTTCTATTCATGCCATACCATTATACGACAAATTAAATGACATTTTCCGCACAAGTTACT